CCCGAGGGCTCCTGTCCTGGAACCCGGAATACGGTTTCCTCACCAAAAGCGCCTGTGTGATTTGTCTTAAACTCCACTGAGACTTGGGTGCTTTGATCAGGTTAACTTAAAAACAGTTTGTTTTTGAAAAGGAAATGCTGTTTATCAATAAACACACAGTAGCCCACCAAGTCTTTACCTTATTTCTAGCAGAATTATAAAAACAACGTTTTACATTTGCTTTTCTGTGCTCTGTGCTCCCACTCACCTCTGACAAGTTTAACAGTAACTAATTGGCTCTTGTGATGTGTTCTAAGAACAGCCCTAAGTGCACTCCAGGAACATGCTGAGTTAGAGCTGCTTCTCCAAAAGCTTTCCCTGAGGGAGTGGTGTCACTGCCCTTGATGATGCCGGGCTGGAGAGGAGGAGGATCTGTGCAGTGACAGCACTGGGGAGCACTGTCACATTCCCTGCTCTGTTCTGTCTCCTGAAGTTGGCAGTGACTCCTGATGCCATCTCATGAGCCAGAGTATTACAAAGGGTGCTCTTTACACATGGTTTCCTCCCCCTACCCCCCAAATTAATTGTGACTGAGAAGTCAAAAAGTATTGTCTATAACAATGCAAGTTACACTTCTACAACTTCTAATTCTTAGCTTGACATTTTGAATTAACCCTTTCATCTCCATTATTGCTGTATTGAAAGACCCAATTCCTCTTTATGTTTAAAGGAGAGTATTCCTTCCATGAGCCTCACTCACACTTCCATTCAGGATTGGTTGGAGCTGGAGCCTTTGAGGAAATTTCCACCGTGTTGTTGACCTGCTGTTGCTTAAATGTTTCCCTGTGACTTGCCAAGTAGAACACAGAGAATAATTAAAATAAAAATACATAAATTAGACAGTTGATTTAGGTATTAACGCTCTGCATGAATTATTTATTGGCTGATTAAAATTGGAAACGATGCCTTACCCCACAGGGGTTACATCCAGCAGTGATCTCTTAGTTTAGGTACTTATTCACTTTGATTAAAGCTTTCATTCCCCACTATCACAAACTTCCAATTCTCCACAAGACCTACAACTACAATCGGGTGTGATTTCATCTTCTCATATTTCTTTACATAAAAAGTATGTTCTTTCTTTACATAAAAAGTATTTTATTCCACTACAACAAATAGGTCCATCAATCATTAATGTGCCTCTGCAGAGGCAGAATGTTCCTGCTTATCCTCATTTAGGATAGACTATTCCTAGAGCAGAATATTCCTGCAGAAGAATATTCCTGCTTATACTGGTTTGGGATAGACTATTCCTAGGGCAGAATATTCCTGCTTATCCTGATTTAGGATAGACTATTCCTAGGGCAGAATATTCCTGCAGAAGAATATTCCTGTTTATCCTAGTTTAGGATAGATTATTCCTGCAGGAGAATATTCCTGTTTATCCTAGTCTAGGATAGAATATTCCTGCAGAAGAACATTCCTACTTATCCTAGTTTAGGATAGAATATTCCCGCAGAAGAACATTCCTGCTTATCCTGCTTTAGCTGTATTCTGTTACTGCTTACCTGAAGCACAGAATTCAAGATGGAAAAAGCTTCTTTAGCGACTTGAGGGCGCAAAAACCGCGAGCTTGCCGAGGAGGGAGTTGCAGGTTCCGACTAAAATCCTGCAAAAAGCTGCCTAAAAATCAGGATCGCAGCAGATGCGGAGAGGGGATGGAGTCAGGCTCCAGCCCCGGACTTCAATGGCCCGCTCCTCGCGGGCGCAGGGGACGCTGCGGCGCCGGTCCCTGCGGGAGCGGGGCGGGCTCGGGGCAGGGCGGTTATAACGCGCGGGGGCGGAGCGGGAGCCGCCTCCCTCCTTCCTTCCCTCCCTCCCTCCGCTTCCCTCCGCGCTTCCCGCCCGGCCCGTCGGGCGCCCCGTGGCCGGGATGGAGGAGGCGCACCGGGCGGCCCGTCTGGCCGCGTCCTGCCTGCGCACCCCGCTGGACCCGCGCACCAGAGCGCCCGCCGCGCTCTACGAGCGGGGGCCGCCGCCCGCACCCTCCGCCCAGGTACCGCGGGGCGCTTCGGGCATCCCTGGCACGGCGGGACGGGCTCACCCGCACCCGCCCTGCCCCCGGGGAGGGACCTCCCGCCACCGGGAGCCCGAGCCGGGTCGGCACCTCCCGGCTTGGAATGGGGCACGAGGAGAGGCAGGGAGAGGCCTTGGCAGATGGATGGCCCCGCTGCAGCGCCAATCCCTTAATGAGCTTGGGGCACCCCCAAGCAGAGCAGATGTAGGAGCTGGCGGTGCCCGAGCTCAGGGAAGAGGCTTGGAGCGCTCCGCGGCGTTTACACACAGATCCAGGGAGAGGTGGATAATGCCCGTCACTGGGGGTTCTCCAACAACGCTTTGAATTTCCCTCTGTGATCGTGGAATTCCCGTTGCGTTGGGCCACTCGTTTCTTCCACGCCGGAGTTAAGGGATTTTTGCTGTGAAAACAAGACTTTCTGTCGGAATGTCAAAGCTTGTTAAAATAGCTCCGGTGTGGAAAAGTTGTATTCTAATCTTCAGGATAGACAAATTGCCCTGTGATTTTTTTTTTTTTTTTTAAAGCACAAATGAAGCCTTTATAATGCAGATTAACCTGACTTTAGTAACTTCCCTGACTTGTGTAAGCTTTAAAAATGTTTAAAGAATATTACCTGCACACAGCTGCCAGTATAGTTATATATATGTTTTACATATATAGTCATATATAGGCTGGCATATATAGTTCCAACAGTATTGGACATATAAGTTGTGCAGAATCCCTGTCATCTCACAGTAAGTTATGGAAATGGGAATAAACTTTTATACACCAGATCTCTAATGACTTATTTTTAGAATTCTTATAGCAAAGGGGGGGCAGAGAAGGTTCTGCTGGGGTTTTGTTTGCTTTTAACTAAAGGCTTTTTTAGAGCTGCATAGTAATCAAGGAAAAACTGCACTTTACAAAATAGTTATGTTTTTGCTTTTGGTAAGTCCTTTTGATCATAGTTCCTGTTATAAATATATTGATAACAGGACAGACTTGGGAATTTTTACAGGCTTTAAATAGGGCCCCCAGGACATAAATTAATATGCAATAAGATTATTCCACGGAGCTCTGCAGTAACATTTGTATACAGGTTAACTCTATTTGGTGTTACTGTATCATCCATTAGACTAAATTAGGATAAAGCAACATTAAGAACCTTGTTCCCCTTTCCTCTAACAGAAAATTTTACAAACATCTTTTCCAGGATGGCTTTGATTTGGATTCAAATACCAACAGAGAGCAGACCCCCCCTCTAAAAGGAGACTGTGACAAGTGGATAGACTTCTCCAAAATATGCAATTCAAATCAAGAGTATTACTTGAAGCTGGAAGAGTTGAAGAATGCCCACCTGGAGACCATGAAAAAATTGGAAAGTATGTATCGGAACAAACTGCATTTAAGAGGAGCACATCCCTTGGACAAGAGAAGGGACACCTCTTTCAAGTCTTGTAGGTAAGTTGGGGGGCACTTTTTATCTGAGGATTCCCAGATGCTTTGAAAACAGCAGGCTGTGTTTGTGGGGCTGGAAAGTGTTCATCTCACCGTCTCCTGTGAGCAGATGATCAGAGAACAGTCAGTTTTAATAATAAAAATGCTCATCACCTCGCTAACAGTCTGTGAGGTTCAGAGGAGGGTGTGCAGCAGGGACTGGGCAGCATGTTTAGGAAAGCACAGGGCCTTTCCCTAGGAAGTGCTGACTTGGTGATCAGCACTAAAACTGGGATCTGGTGCCCAGAGTGCTGCTCTTTTCCCTTCTCATCCCCCTCAGCCACTGTCCTTTTTGTTTCTAGCAATGATTCCTTAAAGTGAATTTACTGGCTTTGCACCAATGTTGGACTGGCTCAAACCAAGCTTTTTTTCCCCCCTTTTTTCAAGGCCAACTTGGGACAGGAGCTCGTATCAGCCTCTAAACTTGCACAAATCCTTTTCAGACTCTGACTTAAGTGATCCCTTGGGTTCAACTATATCCGACGTGTCTGACGTGGAATTAGCATTTGAAGGAAACGGGAGTGAAACCGCATCGTCCTCGTTGGCTAAGCAACGGATTGAGAAGATGTGGGATGGGTTCTCCATGGAAGACTACATCTCCCGCCTCCCAGACAGCCCCCCCGTCTCGCCCACCTGCAGGAAGGCCCGGAAGAAACCCAAGGAGTGGTCCCCCAGAGTCACCGTGCCCAAGCCTTTCCAGATGACCATCAGAGAAGCTCAGAAGAAAGAACAGAACGTTAAATCCAAGTCACGGATCGAACTGGAGAATCACTTACTGAAGAAGCAGCTGGAGGAAGAAGCGGAGTGCCAGAAAAAATTCCGGGCCAACCCGGTGCCCGCCGCCGTCTTCCTCCCGCTCTACCACGACATTGTGCAGCGGAACGAGGAGCGCAGGAGGTCTGTGAAGGAGAGGAGCAAACTCAAGCTCTTGGCTTCCCAGAAACCCTTTAAATTCATCGAACGAGAGAGGCAAAGGAATGAAATCAGGAAAATGCAGTTAAGAGACATTTCCGTGCCTGAAAGTCCGGCCAAAGTGTTCAGAGCAAAACCGGTCCCCAAGTGTGTTTATAGCCCAGATTTTAATGAGAGGCTGAAGGAGGAGGAGCTCTACAGGGAAATCAGGATCAGGATGAGAGCTGAGGAGATGCTGCGTAATTCCTCTGTCCCCAACAGCAGGCTGGCCTTAAAAGAGACCAAAAAAACCAAGAAACACAAGAGCACTGACCCAAAGCAAACAGAACACAAACCCAGGATCAACTCCTGCATTCCAGACTTTGAAAGGTTATATGAGAGATTCCAGAAACGGCTCCTGCAGCAAAGGCAAGTGAAAGACCTCACAGTGTGTGAGCCCTTCAACCTTCTGACTTCATATATCCCCTCAAACAAGGGCAAGATTCTGAAGGACATTGAGGAGGACGAAGAGAAGCTGAAGGAAACCCGGTGGCCATTCGCCTCTCCCAGACGGAAACCCCAAAGGAGGCATTCAAGTGCAAATTCCCAGCTCTTGGGAGCTGGAAAATCCAAGTCTCCCAAAAACACAGAGTCCACCAGACGAAGGCTACAAGCCTTAAGGTGACTACTTAGAGATGCTCTACTTTATATGTACTTTAAAAGTAGATTTTTTTATTTTTTTTTTTATTTCTACACATGTAGCTAATTCTTCTGTGCAGTGAATACAGGACTGAATTTGTTAATGTAAGGGCTTAATTATAATATAAAACTTAAAATAATATAAACCAAAACACTTTAAATTTATGATTGTTGAAGAAACAATAGTATATTTTTCTCAGAATGTCCCTAGGAAAGGGATGAATGATTGCTGTTTCCCAGGATATCCTGAATCCCTTAAAATGGCACATACTTTGTGTCCTCTCATGGCAACCCCGTTTTCCTCCTTGGAATCATCTTTGCCAAAGCTTCCTTTGAAGTGGTGCTCTTGATTTAATATGAATTCAGCCTTAGTTTATTTTCCCCACCAGGAATTCACTTGAGGAAAAGAGAAAGCTGGAAGAACAACAAAAAAGGAACAGAACGAAGCAGAAACAAAGAAAGAAAAAATTCCAGAAAATTGTACTGGCTCGGGCTGAGGCCATTGACCCACATCAGAGCCTTGCTCAGATGTCTAAATCCAAATTAAAAACATTCAGGTATTTCATGGCATTCCCCGGAATCCAGAACCTCTCATCCAACAATGAGAATGGGAGGTTCAGGATTGCATTGTATGTTAAACATACAATGTGTAAAAAAATAGCCTAAGTTAACATGATGACGTGTGATAAATTAAACACTGTGCAAGCAGATAGTCAAAATGGTCAAATTTAGTGTTTCAACTGGGAAATATGTCATTAGAACATATATACAGAAATATATATTCCACCTTAGAGTATTACAGATTAGCTAACAGGGGACTCCTGTGTTTTCTCAATTAACACATCAACTAAAGAGGAAAAGTTTATAACAATTCAAAGGAGAAGGAACAGTGTAGTTACAGAATAGCCTTGCACAGCTGGATACTGCACTGGTACATTGGGGCAGTGAACATCCCACAAGTCACTTTGTCCCTGTGGGCCCCACTGGAGAGGGAAGATTGGAGCAGGAATATTATTTTAACTTCACACCTGTAACAGCAGCTACCCAGGAAGCTGCTGGTGTTTGGGAGGAGTGGGATGCAAAGTTACCTGTAGGAGAGATACAACTGAAAGACTGTTTCTCTATGACTGAGGGAAGCAGCAGGGAGGGAATGACACCAGTGCTGGGAGCTGGCACTCCAGGTGGCTCCAGCTCTCTGACATGGATCTAACCCCACAACTGCTGCTTGACCTGGTGTCTGGGGCTGATTTAAAACCATTTCTGCTTCTTGCTCTTTTTAATCTTAGAAAAAAAATTAATCCTGTTTGAGTCTTTAGTGAGGTTTGTGATCTGGCCTGGCACGATGGCACTGCAGGAGGATCACCAGCTTCACGTGCTGTTTTGTGGAGACGGTGAGAGGCACAGGCTGCTCTGCCCCTGCTGCTTCATGCCTGGGCAGGATTCCTGGGTAAACAGGACTCCTAATTTCCAGTAACCAGTCATTCTGTTGGGAACAGGAGCTTTATAATGTATATGTCCTTGGAGATGATCTGCTGGCTCCGGGACAGAAGCAGAAAACAATTGGAGTCAGAGTAGGTGGAGAGTGAAGAGAGACAGTGGGTGTTTGTGCAGATTTGGTTTGAGTTCACTCACCAGCAAAATTCACACTGCAGTGTTCAGCTTAATCAGATTTGAGGAGCTCTGTAAAACACTCGTGGCTTAATTCTTGTCTGCACATAAAATGATGCCATTACAAAAGCAAGGTTATTTCCCTGGTGCTGATGCTCTGGGGCTGCTCCAAAGGCTTAACCTGATAATGCTCATTTCAGCAGTTGGGGAACGAGGTCTGTTAAGGCAAGTGCTCTTCCAAGCAAGGAGCAACAAGGAAGTTCACTCCCCAAAATGGGGAATAACTTGCCTTGATGCACAGCCACGTCCCAGGAATTCAGAGATGGGCAGGGAAAGAGGCAGGAGGAGACAGGAGGGTAAAATGCCCCCTGGATCTTATCCTTGACCCAGTGAGGTGTCTGTCACACACTGAGGATTACCACCCATCCTACCTGGATTATCCAGTGCTTGCTGTGATCCAAATGATGATTTCAGCTGATGAATCAACAGTTTCATCATCCTGCTCTATTGACTGGGCCCCTGAAAAGCCAATTAGGAATAAAGTGTTCTATGGGAGATCAACTGCTAAAGCAGCAGGATTCTCACCAAACTTTAAAAGCACTGATTTTTATTTACTGCTATTTGCAGTGTACTCTGTTTAATTTTGCTTAGAGCAGCTGGAAGATCTGTATGAAATCAGCATTTAAAAACCCCCAAGTATCCAATTTTTTCTTTTTTTTTAAATCCCCAAAACCTCCAAGAATCCAAACTCAGCCTCTGTTTAACCTGCCTCTGCTTAGGCCAAGTGACAACATCAGAGACGGGGTTGTTCAGTACTTACCTTTTATTTATCTTTAACTGGGACAATATTTAGTTTGTTATGTGCAATTTAGCTGCTGTAGAAAGTCACTTGTTGTATTATAAATTAGTAACAATTTCTCCTGTGCTCTGCTTCCCTTAGGAACGATGAGAAGCGGAGAAGGCAGGAATATTTGCAAGAGTTGCACGAAATGGAAGAAAGAGTAAAACAGAGGCCTTTGCTTTTTGAAAGAGTCACTCAGGTTGCCCTGTTTCTGTGTTACTGCTCAATTCTTAGCTGCAGATGCTGAATAAGACATTTGTAGTCAAACATGTTTAGGAGACACTTGAAAAACACTTTTTAGACCAGTATTGATCTGTTTCAATCTCTGTTACTCCATGTAAATGTTACTAATTTTTGTGACTAACAATGTAAGTGTGTCCAATTCAGAGCTCTGAACACAACCAAAAATTGCCAGCACAGGAAAGGAAAATCTGATGTAAAATTTTCAAGTATTGCTTTGCCATTCTTACCTGCAGTGAATGATCATTCCACTTGTCAGCTGCAATTAATGAAACAGAGGATTAATATCAATAAAAGTATCAAAAGGCAGGCATTCAATGCATTAGATAACACAGAACCATTGTGGTTTTTCCACAGAAAAATGCCAGAATAGCTGCAGAAAAGCATTATTCCAACAGACTGAGAGCACTGGGGATAAACCCAGAGTTTGTTGCAAAGAAAGGACAAACAACTATTGTGCTCCAATGCTCCACTGCTGAAGATTTCATCTCCACTGATGCCAGAGAAAGGTAGAGGTTACTGAAGGCTTTTGTTTTTCTCACCCACTGAACACCTAATAATTCGAAAGGCATTTTTAGTGTGTAGATTTGGGGTGTTTTTTTAAATTATTTATAGTATTTCCCAGGGAACTGTTTGACCATGTGGTTTGCTTTACTAATGTTAGTGGTAGTATGTGTTTTTTATTGTTCTTCCTGAATTAAATATTATTTCATAAAATGGAAGAGAGCACTGGTTATGTAATGCATGTCAAAGAAAAATCAAGAAAAACATTTTTTGTTTTGTTCCTTTCACCAAAAATTCTGGCAGGTTGCTAGTAAGTCACTTCATTTGTCATTACCTGATGAAGGTTTAAATTTAAACCTGATTTAAAATTTAAAGTCGATTTTTTTAAAATAAGCCTTATAAAAAATCGTTTTCAATATCCATTAAGTGTTATGATTTAAAGGGAAGCAGAAATAAAAAAAATTGGAATATATAAGCAATACTGTTGAGTTACTTTTTAGCATAAAAGAGACTCTGGTGTGTCCCTCTCCCTTCCCTTTTCCTTTCCCAGTTCCACCCCAGCCAAGAATACCAGGATTTGTCCTATATTACAGGAGGCTACTTTAAAAAGTACCTTCCCAGAAAACAGAATCTCACCTGCCAATTGTCTTTTCAGAGTCATCGAGATCAAAGTGAGGGAAAGGGGATTCCTTGAGGGAGCAGCTGAGGACAGTCCCCACTCTGAGCAGTCCTGGGAGGAGGAGGAGGAGGAAGAGAAGGGAAAAGGTGTCAAAACCTCCACCCCAGATGAGCAGTGCAGTGAGCTGGAGGATGAGGAAGAGCCCAGAGCCAGCCCTGATGCTCCTGAGCCCGAGTCCAGCCCACCCTCTGTCCGGAACAGCGAGGAAGAGGAGGAGGAAGCAAAGGCAGGCTTGACCTCTGGCCATTCCCAGGAGGAGGAGGAAGAAGAAGCAAAGGCAGATCAGTCACTTGGCCATTCCCAGGAGGAAGAGGAGCAGGAGGAGGATCATTCCAGCCCCAGCTCTGGGTCTGAGCGCTCCCAGGAGCAGGAGGAGGAAGGTCAGTCTGACCCTGAGGCCGAGGGGGCCTCTCAGTATGAGGATGAGGAATATGAAAGTGATGATTCTGAAGACAAAGCCAGCCATGAAGAAGCCAACTGACAGGATGTCCCAGGGCTCAGGAACCTCTTCCATTGCTGGAAGAGGAACAGATACCAGAGGAAAAAAATGGTGCTTTGCTAGGGATACAAAATTCTGTGAATTTTTACCTCTTCGCTTCAGAGTCCTCCCAGTGCAGCAATTTGGTTTGTTTTCCAGTAAGAAACCTCAAGTTACTGGTTTTTCCACCAAGAAAATAATTTACTTCTGTATTAAACTTCTTTATTCTAGTCTTGTGTGGCTTTAGTGCACCTCTGATCTTAACAGAGAAACGACAACCATTGTTTAATAACAACACCTCGTGTGCTGTGTAAGCACTGAGGTCTCACATCCAGCTTTTTCCACGTGCTGGCAAAGACTTTGGAGCAGTAAATGCCATTATATCCCACTAAAGGGACACTCTTTTTTACCTCAGGTAGCTCTTGTTGTGTCAAGGTATGGCAAGAAGTGCTGTAGTACCTCTTCTTACACACAGGTTACTCAGGGCTTCAGCTACTACACAACAAAGAATGGAAATAAAAGGTTTGGGGATTGTTTTTTTCCCTCTCCTATGACTGACTTTCTTGCTAACCTGACACACTCAGTGCTGGGAAACATCACATGCACAGAAAACCTGTTATTATTTCTTCCTCCTTACTTTGTTACACAGTCTCTCAATGTTTGAACTTTTTTTTAAACATCATTGCTTTTATTTATTTCTGAAACGTGAGCATAACTAATGTGAAATTGAAACTTTTTTAAAAAAACACTTGAATAAAATATTAATAATTAATGGAAATATTGAAAATGTTAATCATTACTTCACAAGGAAAAAAATCACAGTTTACAATCTCTACTTATACCTGGCAGCCCCACAATCCAAACTCAAGGTTGGTTTGCTTGTCTTTGTGAGCATTTTGTAATTCTGAAGAGTTGTCCAGTTAATAATCACACATTACTGGGACTTGTCTCTTTAGGAAATTAAATCTTTTTCTGAAAGAAGGCAGAGGAGCTGTAAGTTATGGCTTTTCTCAGATTACTGGAAGAGATTTCAAATCAGAAAAACAATCAATGTGTTTCTAAGATCTGACAGCACTCGATTGAGTGTTCTAAAAGAACGAATATACAATTGTTGAATTATTAAAATAGGGAATAAAAGTACTACTAAAACTCCTTTGAACTGAAAGTAGCAAAATCACTGCTTTTTAAGGTTTTAGAAGATGCAGTTGAGGATCTTTGTATAATTTGGATTGAGTTTTTCACGGAAGTTTTTTTATATTAACCTTAACAGTAACAGAATTAATGAACACTGAAATATGACATAAATATGATATAACCTTTTGGAGGTTATAACTCAGCTTTTTTTTTTAGCATTTCTGAAAAAGTCAAGCAGAATCATGTGGAATAAAGAGATCCAATGGATGTGGTTTACCTGGATTTCCAGCCTGATGGCAGTGATGAAAGAAGATATAGCTCAGTTTTAATCAGTGCAACTTAAATGCATGTGAGGGTAAAATATATTCCCAAACTATGAAACTGGGGGAAAAGCACAGTTCCATCCTGAATACTGCATTCCTGCTCCTCCCATCTTAACAGGGAATTATGTGACTGGAAAAAGGCAACAAGAATGATCAAATAGAAATAGTTTTAATACAAAAAAGTACTTTAGTTTTCACATGACAATATACACCAGGATTCTTTGATTTGGGAAAGAGAGGGGAGATCAAACTCGGAGATATTAAAGGAACCACTTATGGAAATCAGCTTTTCAAAGTGGAAGGATAATGAGATTTAGGTAGGAAAAAAAAAACAAACCTGTTCAGAAATTGCATTACAAACATAAAGGGATAAACATTCCAGCAAGGCATTAGAAAGGAAAGAAAGCAAAGAAAAATCAGAGATGACAGAATAGAAACGGAGACTGACGGGTCAAGGTGAATTAAACCTCATGAAGCAAAGTAAAAAATACTTCAAACGAAGGAGAGGAACATGTAGACAAACCAGAAAAATTTAAAGAAAATAACTATATTTAAAGAAAAGAGCCAGTAACTTCCACATGAAAATCGAAATCCAGGTGAAAGATTTTGGCAAATTACAGTAGAAGCATTTTGAGGTAAAAAGCTCATTAAAGGAGAAATGCTGATGAGTTTGTGCTTTCAGGGAGGCTGCAGGAGGGAGATGAATAGGAAAGTTTCTCACAGATTATTGAATATTCTGTCTTTAATATTTTAATTAATGGCCAGAGCACAAAAGTAGAAACATGTTCAAAAATTTGCAAAGAAAATGAGAAAGGTGTATCTGGAGAAAGGATTAAAAATACCACATGGGAAGAAGGGGATAACTTTGCATGTAGACTCTAGTATTAAATAATAAATTCCAAGTGCAGGAAGAGTGTTTCTCTATGATAATTATACATATTTATTTTTGAAATAAGAAGCCAGAAGTTTTGGATATTGTGCTTTTTCAAGCATTCTTTGTATTTAAAATAATGTTTCCTCTAGAAACCATCTCCTCATGTGCATAATTATCACAATATCAAGCAGGAGGTTACATCCTCTTTTCATTTGAGGAAAAAATTATTACATCATTATCTTTTACAGATGAAGAGAATAACAAAAGACCTTCTTCACCTTCAGTGGAATTACAGTCTTACATCTCTGGTTGTATAATTTTTTGGTTAAAAGAAAAAAAAAAAGAAAGCCCTTGCATGCTCCTGCAAAACTCAGAATTGCTTCTTTCTTCAGTAGGAATTTCAGGTATTTGAGGAATGACAGATCAGAACTTAGACTTACAAACAGTATCAGAAAAATTCCTGTCCCTACTTTGTACTACAAACACCCACAGTCAGATGGGGCAGAGAAATCAGGGATCACTGGGCAAGGCAAACCACACAGACACGAAGTTATAGGACCTGATCTAGTGTTTTAGATAGCTTTGTTAAGGAATAACAGCATTAAGAGGTTTCCACTGTGCTGAGTGTGCACAAACACACCAATAAACCCTCAGCCCAGTCCTGCTGGGCATCTCTGCACACTCAGAGTAAGTAAGCACTGTTTAAATCCTTCCACAGACAGCTGAGCACATCAAACAGCCTGTCTGTGCCCAAGGAGCACAAGCTCTGTCCTCCCCATCCTTCCTTTTCTTCCTCGTTTTTCAAGCCCTTTGATTGAGTCAAATTAACTCATCCACTCTCCCAGCAAAAGGGGGTGAAGGTTAGGAGATGACAGGGACAAGCAGGACTTCACCCCTTTTAATTCTGTCCAATTATGATCCGTGTGTGACAGACCTGCATCCCAGGATTATCCACATGGGACAATCCCCCACATGCCTCAGTGGCTGTACCACAACAGAAGGCACGTGTTAACTGGCAAGGAATATTGTTATTTCCTGATAATTAACACCATGTTAATTTGATTTAATTGAGACCATGTTTAATTTGATGAGCACAAACGGTACAAGCAAAAGCCAGTTGTCAACAGGACTAAAAACAAGTGTATTTGCACCTGCCCAGCTCAAAACTTGCTACTAATAGTTAGGGCTTAGTAACCAAAGCCGATTACTAACAATAGTTAGGCAGGTTACAATAAGAAGGTTAGTAGGATTAGGCAGGTTACCAACTAACAGTAAGTAACCACACTACCAGCACAGCCAGGAAATTCTAGTTGCCAGGATAGTGAATTGCTACAAACCATCTTGTTTCCACACAATTCGTATTTTACACGCAGGCTTCCACACTTCCAGAGGCACCTGGTTCTCAGGAAAGGCTGCTGGTCACTTGCCATATTTTTAAGGCCTGTTTCACACCATCCCACACTTTCTGAAATGGATAGGAGATACATAAATTACATTTGTGATAAGTAGTAAAAGCAAACAAAGGAAAAAAATCAGCTTTTTGTGTCTCGTGCTGATGAAGTTCTGCTCAGGGGAGCTCGGTCCAGCAACACCTTTATCCCTGAGGAACTGGGATTGCCGAGGGCGCCATCGCAGCCACTCGAGCAATGAGGCCTCAGACCTGACACTGAAGGGGCCACACAAACAGCTGGTGTGAGGGAACAAAGCCCTTGAAATCCAGTTTGGGGCTTTGAACTCTGAGTTTTCTGAGAAAAAGGAGCAACTCCAAACGTTACACAGCAGAGCGTCAGCCCACAGTGCTGAGGCCCAGCTGACCGACACACAGGGCCTGCTGATCCCATCGCTGCAAAATATCAAGAAACACCTATTAACGGTTCATAAAGATACTTCTTTTAAATCCCTGTTCAATTAACTTCATTTCCTCAGTGAGAATTTCCTATATCCCTTACCTGTTAACTGGATCCATAGTTTATTCCTGGGTGAAACCTTCCTTCTCCTCACACTCTGTTAATGCTGATTTAATTCAGGCCTAGCAAGCTGAGGCTGAGTTTAACTCTCCTCAGGGAGAAGGCTGGGTACCTGTTTGTCTGCCCCAGCTTGTTCCTGCCCCTGAGAACTGGCTCACAGGCCCTGCTGTTCACACAGCTCCCTTCCCTCCCTTTCCCACTCAAAGGTAGCTCAGTGTTGCCCAGGAATACTGTTTCCAGCCAGCCACACTACTGCAGAATA